TTTATTCCCACGTCTGAATTTTTTAATTAGCCCAAAGTTCTTTGCTTTACTTTTTAAATATTTCTTCAAGAAAGTCATATAATCATCTGGGTCTTGGGCTTAAATCTGAAAAGAAAATATACTTTCAGCTCTCTCTTAAAAAGTCATCTACGAAGGTGTTGCTGAGAATATTTGTAAGAAAGTGACCCAAGGGAAGATGATATAGAGGATGATGTAAAAGTAGCCTTTCTACATAAAGTCCATTCCATGCCCACTACCCCAGTTTTGGGATTTGTGGCTTCCACCTGCTCGGTTCATAGTAAGAAGGATCTACAGCTTTAAATCCAGGCGTCAGTCTTGTGTGCATCCTGTCCCTTGCAGAACTGAGAGTGACAGATGATCTTTGATCAAGGCTCTTAGAGGCAGAAAAGGGCAGGGAAAAGGCAGACAGAGCAAAGTGAGAGTGTATGGGTGCTGCCTTCCAACTTTTAGTGGTTTAAATAACATGATCTTTTAACTTAACCTTCGGGTGTCATTGCAAGCCCATCATGTCCAGTTTGGGCAAATGTATCCTTAAGAATTAGTTATATAATTTGCTAAGGAATGATTGTTCTTAAGACCCCTGAAAAGTTTCTCATGAGAATAACAACTGCAAAAGGGTTGTAGAGAAAACTTAGCAAAAACAGTATTTTGCTTTCTTTTGTTTTCAGAAAGAAAGAGACAGATCATGACTGTGTGCATGCCTGAGTGTGTGCAGCTTGCGAATGAGGCGCATGTAAATAAATAGTGTTTTACTGCCCCAGAGGATTGGGAATTATTTTAGTTATCTGTGTAAGGAAGCACCTTTCTCCTCCAATTCAGTGGGATAAAACAACAACCATTTTGTTAACCTTATACTTTCTAAGGGTCAGGAATTCACATGGGGCATTGTTTTCGCTCCCCCAAAGGTTGGGGCCTCAGCTGAGACAACTCAAATGGCTGGGGCTGGGACCATGTATCTGATTCCTTACCTGAGATGGCTCCAGGGCTATGTCTGTTGACCTGCGCCCCTACACGTAGCCTCCTCATGGCATCCTCAGGGTAGCTGGACTTCTTATCTGGTAGATTAGGGCTCCCAAGGAAGGTTTCCAGCAAATCAGGTAGAAGTGCCAGGCTTTTTATGATTTATCCTCAAAAGCCACCTTGTGTCTCTTCCTACATAACTCTATTTGTCAAAGAAGCCACAGCCTACCACATTCAAGGAGAGAAGACATAGACCTCACCTCTTAATGGGAGGAGGATGGAAGAATTTACGGCCTTGTTTTAACATTGGCCACAGAAGGAATAGATGCAGATGAAACTTAAAATCCAACAGATTATTTATCTAGGTCCCTCAGTATTCTGAAGACCAGGTGTTTGGATATTAACTTTTCTCCTTTGGTCCACTCCCATCTTCCATTCCCCTACGTTTTGGCTTCCTGAGAATGTTAATTTAATTTTTTCTGCAATTTCCTTTTTGTTTCTGAGCTTTAGCAAAGAAGTAATGTTAAGCGCTGTTTGCTTTGTATATAACTGATAACCAGTATCCTTACCAAGACTAGAGAAAGTCTTGCCTAGGGAGTTGGACACTGATACAGTGTTATAAACCCCCTGGAAGGAAAGGAACCACTATTGATCTTACATTGTGGCGGGGGTACATCTCTGTGTGATGGGCTCCCCTACACCAGCTTACCCACAGAGCGAATTGTTCGCTCCCTCAGGGTTTCTTTCATAGGTTTGGCTTCTCCTATATGAGAAGAGTAATGCAGACTGAATGGTGGCATCCAGCTGCCTCAGCCTTCAAGGCATGGACTTGATGTGCCTTTCCATTTATCTCTGCCTTTGTCTTCTTTTGATTATATACCTCCTGGTTTCTGTCTGGTCTTCTAGAAATATTTCCACAAGCCTGATCACTGGATACATCATTCAAAGCCTTCAGATCTGCTCCCTTTCTCTGACTGTCTTGTCGTTACAACTCTCCTTGTGTATGTGACAAGTTGGCCAACTCCTGAATCCTGGTGTTTCTCTATTCTCTTGTCAGAAACCATAACTTCTCCCTGCCTGATGCCACAGAGGCCCACCCTACCCACAGTCCAGCATGATGGTAAAGAACAGAAGGCTTAACTATGGAGAAAATCTTCCTACGTGAGTCCTGGCCAGGTGCTAGGACTCATGTGGGAAGGTTTTTTGTCTTTTTTTTAACAAATTGCAATCATCAGTGTTAGTGCTTTTACATTTTAATTCTAGTGTATGATAGGACCTCACACACAGTCCCATGAGGTAAGTACTACCTTTCTAAAGAAAAATGTCCAGTTCTACTCTTTTTATTTGCTTGTGAAATAATCAGGCAGGTTGTTTATTTGTTTTTTGTTGTTGTTGTTGTTATCACATGGTTTAAATCAGTTGTACTTATTGTAATGGTTTCACATAATTAAATAATACGTAAGTAAATGAAATATGATTGTAAAAAGAGAGCTGTGGCTTCTTGGGAAAACATTAAATGCATTAATTGCTTTATTAAGTGATTTATTGAGCAAAATTGTTGTAAAATTAAGTGAGGGAGAGATAAGTATAAAAGGTAGTAAAATAATTGTTAAAATGTAGAAGGATCTTGCACTAATTTGTTACCTCATCTGAGATTTATTGTATCCTCAATAAATGATAGCTATTATGTATTGTATTTAAGGGTAAATAACCAGGTGGACAAAGTTAGTACATATTTGATTCCTTTTCTTTTGTTGTTGGACTGACACTTGAAACAGAGCTTGGGTGGGAGGAGAGAGATTGTGTTTCATGTTCAAGGCATTAAAAAAAAATGTGTCTCTACCTAGCATCTTCTGATTACCTACTCAAGAGACTGTGTTGATTCTTCCAAGCTTTGATGGGCATCAACTGTCAGATGGTGATAAGTCATTTATCTGTTCAAATAATGTGTCATGGACCCAAGTTCTAATAACAAGGAATTTTTGTAATCTAAAAATGAACAACAAAAAGTTTCACATGATGCAGCCTCATTTCTGTGGGTAAAATGTTCACCTCTAGCAGAGCCGTGTGATTAAATGTGCGTGCAGTGATGAGAAGTGCACGGAACAGTGAGGGTATGCCCAACCTTCCTACGTAAAACTTCAGCCCTTACCCCATCCCTCAAACATGGTTCTCCCTACCCTCTTTCCTGCTCTTGTTTTCCCCCATAACAATGATCACCTTCTTATATACCGTACAGTGTCCTTATTTATTTTGTTGCTTCTCTTCCCTCACAGCCTAGATTGTAAGTTCACAGAAACAGAGATTTTTCATCTGTTTAACTCATAGCTATACTATAGCATTAAGAAATATGTGACTCCATATGGTAAATGCATGCTCATGCCCATGTGCACACACACAAATTTATAAGTGAATTTATGAGTGAATAATAAATGTGAATTAATTATTAGTAATTAATAGAATTTTCCTACCACATAATAAAGCTTGCCTTGAAGTTACCCCAGGATTAGATTAGATTATCTAGATGAAGTTAGAGTATAGACACAGACATAGGCACACAAAGTTAGGAAGCGGCCAGTGATAAACATTTAGGTCCATTAGGATAACTTTGAAGATAATGTCTAGAAACAGATTCTAGAAACAGAAACCCATCTCAAAATGGCTTAAACAATAAGAATGCTTATTGCTTTATGTGACAAGAAGTTCCAGAAGCAGTGCTGCTCCACACCGTCTAATACAGGAGTCCAAAGAAGACATCATGGACCCAGTTTCTCTGAGTCTTTCTGTGCTTCCACTCTTAAAAGTATCAGATTTGTTCTCAGGCTTCAAAGTGTCTGCAGCAATCTAGGCATTACCACCAAACACAACAATGTTCAGAAGAAGAACAGACTATTTGCTTCTACGCGTTTCCTTTTAAAAATTCAGAAATATTTCCTGGAAGCCTTTCAGCAAAGTTACCCTCATGTCTTATTGGTCAGAATTGTATCACATGCCTACTAACCAATCATTGGTGAGGAGACTGGGATCCCCATGTTGGACCAATTAAGATTCACCCTCTGGCACCTGACCCATCCTGAACCACATGGCCAAGAGAAGGCAGAAACTAGAACAAATAGATTTTGAGGGGGCAGGGATGGAAGGGACAGGAATAGATGCTTGATAAGTGTTTGCTATAACACTAAATCACCAAATGCATTTGTATGTGGAGTTTAGGCTAAATATTATAGGATTATCTGAAGTACGTAGTTTAAAACAATGTAATAAAACCAATCTCTTTAATGGTTTTTATATATTTTTTATACTTAACCAACTAATTCTCTTTGTCAGACGTTTGTCTGATTTCATAAATTCTTCAATTTTATTTTAGTTTTAAAAATTATCCTATTATTTAAATTCAAGTAAAATTATATTTCTTACTGAAAATGTTACATATATTAAAAAGTTTTATATATATATCCATCCATCCATCTCTCTATTATTTTCTGTATATTTATGCATAAGTAAATATCTGGAATGAAGCTCATTTAATGTTAATGAGAGTTATTTTTACTTGTTTGTATTTCACATGTATTTTTTGCTACATTTTTTGTACTTTTTTGGAGAGCTTAAGTATTTTGGAATGAGGCTATTTCATTTTTATGAAAATGATCATGACATTGTTCTAAAAGTAAAAAAAAAGATAACTAGGTTAAAAGTATCTCCGTATTGTTAAATCCAATAAGCAAATTATTTTTAAATGGGTAGTATAACCCCATTTCATGAATGAATGAATGAATAAATAAATAAGGAAAATTGTTATTAGAGCAATAGAAAAATTCTAGACATTTACGTCTAAAACAGATAAAAATGCTTGTCTCTGAGAATGATGCTGGTTACTGAGGACTTGCACTTTTCACAGTTTCTATGTTGTGTGACTGAGTCTTCAATGATTGTATAATTCTTTATAAGTATTAAATATAGTCAGTATAAATGTATAAATAATAATAATCAGTCCTTTTTGTTGGGTTACTGTCCCACAGCTGCTACTTCCTGCTGCTTATGCAAAGGCCATCCTCAGCCTGTCATTTTCTGCGGCTCCACACAGCCCCTGATGGTAGAACAGCTCTCCCCAAGGTTACGGAGGTGAGTGACAGGTGCCTTCCTGCTTGCGGTAAATACTGATGTTCTTTGCTGCTGCTGAGGCCAGTTCAGTGGGAGGCCAATGGTGTGACTCTGGCCTTTGCACTTAGACTCCCCACTCTGCCCTCCCTGAGCTCTGCCGGGTGGTGACCTGGCCAGAGCATATGGTGAGTGCACACTGAGTGGTGGCTCCCTTCCCTTCTAGTGCCTTAGGGCCATCCTGGGCCAGGCCAGCACTGTGCAGGCAGTTGGAATTGCTTTACAGCTGAGCATTTCAGACTCAGACAGGTTGGTTTTTAGGCATCTATTTCCTGAAGTAAGTGTTGGAGTTTGAGCCCAGTCCTCCCCAGCACTGTCAACTTTACTTCTCCTTTTTTGGTCTGAAAGATTAACTTTTCAGCAGAAAACCTCTATCTGAATGCTTAATATATTAGATTTGAGAATTACAGAGTGTCAGCTTTAGAAGCACCAGGCACGCATTTCTAACTTCCCACTGAAATAGCAACAGATACGTGCACAAAGACGGAATAAAGCATATACCACCTCTAAGACAGTTTTGGACAAGTTATTGCTAAATTTGGATGACATTTCGTTAAGGAAAAAAGATGAGGAAACTGCATTGAGAACTACTGGCCCTCGTGAATCAGAGCATTAAAAAACTTGTCGGTGAAAATAGGGATTGATCCTACCTGAGTAAACATAACGGGCTGCCGTAACAAAATACCAGAAGCTGGGTGGCTTGATACAACAAAAGTGTATTTTTTCATGACTCTGGAGGATAGAAGCCTGCAGTCATGGTGTTGGCAAGGCCATGCTCCCTCTGAAGTTTCTGGGGAGAATTCCACTTTGCCTCTTCCTAGCTTCTGTTGCCTTCCGGCCATCCTTGCTGTCCTTGGTTTGTAAATGGATCACTCCAGTCTCTGCTCATGGCCTTCACCTGGCCTTCTTCTGTCTTCACACGGCCTTCTTCCCTGCATGCATATCTCTGCGTGTCCTTCCCTTCTGCTCATAAGGACAGCAGTCATTGACTTTAGGGCCAACACTTACCCATTGTGACCTCATCTTAACTTCTGCAAGAACCCTATTTCTGAATATGTTGACATTCACAGGCATTGGGGGTTAAGACTTAAACTTATCTTTTGGTGGGGGGGACACAATTCAACCCACTATACTACCTGAGGCCAAGAGGGCTACACCAGATGATTGCACTAGATCCTATGCAGTCAGCGTTCAGTAACAAAGGCAGTGGTGGTGACACAGCGCTGAAACCTGGGACATAGAATAATAAAGATTTATTTGTGGCTTATATTGAATGTCAACTATGTGTCTGCAAGACTTTCCTTCACATATCTTCTTCATCCTTGGATTCAGGATGAGAAAGCAGTTGTGATGTGGGACACTGTTACAGGATGAATTGTGTTCCCCTCTTGTAAATTCATATTTTGAAAACTTAACCCCCAGTGCTTCAGAATGTGACCTTATTTGGAAACAGGGTCATTGCAAATGTAATTAGGTAAGATGAGGCCATTAGAGTGGGCCCTAATCCAATATGACTGTGTCCCTTATAAAAACGGGGAATTTGGACACAGACACACGCAGAGAAAAGACACTACGAAGACACGGGGAGAAGACGGCCACGTACAAACCACCTGGAACAGACATCTCTCTCATCCTTGGGAGGAACCAACCCCGCCGAGATCTTGACGTGGACGTCTAGAGGACTGTCAGACAATAAATCCCTGTTGCTTAAGCCTCCAGTTTGTGGCACTTTGTTATAAGACCCCTAGGAATCAAATGCCAGTCTCCTGGCAGAGGGGAAAGTATATACGAGGAAGCTTGCAGTGACTTTTGAAGCTTCTGCTCAGAACCACTTGCATAAATTCCTCTCATGTCACTTTGGTCAAACCTGCCAGTGGGGTGGCCTGAGTTGGAATCTGGAGGAATGGGGAACGCACGGGTCTGCTGAGTGCTCGGCCACCAGGCACGATGGGGCCTGGGCTGAAAAGTGACATGAATTTTCCCACAGTCTTTTTAGTAGACAAAGCCCTGCTGGAGGAGCAGGCCTGTCAAAAACACAGGCTCAGCCTCCAACTCTTGACACTAAGGTGAGCTGAGTCGTACCTAAACTGTGTCCCTCTTGAGTCCGCTCCGCTCTTGGCTAGAGCCCGGTGATCAGCCTCTCACTTTATTTGCCAGTCAGAGGAAAGGCAAGTCTTCTCTGGAGAGTGTAGGGCGGGGATAACATGGACTTCGGCTTCTACTATCCTCTTATACACAAATATCTGGAATAATAAAAGACAGGGAAAGACATGCCATGAAGCAGGAAAATGTAATCAATCAGGTATTGAGTTTGGTAACAGGCAAAGAATTTTTTCCCCTGTGGTGTTTTAGGCAGAAACTTTTAGGCATCTGTGTCAACTCAGTGTCCCTGCAGACTACTGTGTTTGTGATCCATCCCTCTCCTTAGGACATGAGGCCAATATACAGTAGGACAAGGGAAATAATACATATTTAAAGTTTCGAGGATAATTGTGCTTCTAATCATATACTTTGAAATTATCAGAACCAAAAGAAAATTAAAGCAAACTCTCTAGTATCATCCATACCCATTAACTTATTTATTTGTTCAACACACATATGCCAGGCACTGTGCTGAGTATTAGAAATCTGGGAATGAACAAGACAGACCCGAGATACGTCCCAGTGGAGTTTAGACAAGGACAGGCAAAACCATTGACTAAGTAATGAAATTGAAGGCTAAAGGCTGTTAGGGTAAAAAAAAAAAAAAAAAAAACAGGGCTCTATCCCCCCAAATGGGTTTCTGGATCCCAATGCCTTAAGGAGGGTGGGGTCTGTCTCTCTCTTGTGAGTGGGCATTTCAGGGGCTGTGGCCCCAGCCTCTTCTTATGAAATTTCTTTCCCTTATGGAAACTGATTCCGGGGAAGGATTTCTCCCTCAAACTCGTAATTGTTTCAGCTGGAGAATCCCCTCAGAAATTTCTGCATAGGAACTTGCTTCAAGAGCCCGCGTGCAGATCCATGCCCAGGTCTGTTCTCTGCAGCTTTAGGACGTCAGAGGCCTTGCTTGACTAGCAGTTTTTACCCTTTATTGTTTTCAGCCAAAGTGAGATATGTTTCTATTAACTTATCTTCCTTTTCTTTTCTGCTCCTGCGATTTTTTTTTAATAATGGGAGAGAGGTAACTTTTAGATCTATTTTTTTTAATGTTTTAAAACGAAAGTACTGGGAATTGAACCCAGGACCTTGTGCATGCACTCTACCACTGAGCTATACCCTCCCCTCGGCTCCTGCTCTTTTAGGAAGTCTCTGTGGTGTCTAACAGTTTATTCTGCTTGTTATGGTAGCATCTTTACTTCTGTCAGCAATAAGGATAGTGACAACAATAGATAAGTGAAATATTCCATATGCCGCTGCCGCTCTAAAGACTTCCCCTACATAAACTCACTTTATCCTCATACCACCTGACAATAACGCTTATTATTAGTTTATTATCATCAACTGTTATTGTTTATTAGTATACTCTCCTCATTATTGATTTCTTCTGGACTTCAGGATCTCATGCCTCCTTTAATATCCGCATCTGTCTCCTCAGATCGTAACCTTTCTCCCGAGGAGAGTTCTTTCTTCCTCCAGTTGCATGTCTGTCTTGCTTGATTTGTTTTCATTCCTCCACAGCCCTTTGTCTAATACTGAATCAACTTCTTTTCTTTTTTTCTTTAAATGGCTCTCAATTTCTCCTTGATTCCTGAGCAAACTTGATTTCTAGAGGCAGAAAGTTCCAAGCACAGACTATAAATCACTGTCTTTGTTTCTGCAGTATTTCTTTGAGCCCAAGAAGGTAGCATTTGTCTCTGACTTAAAGGCCCTGTTTGTTTTTATTTATTAATGAAATATACCAGTCTCCTATGAATTTAGCCACAATTTGAGGCTTGCATAATTTTTAAGCCTTTTAAGAACTTAAATGATTAACAATGCAGAGACAGCTTGAGGCCATCCTGGGGGGAGATTTGTAAGGCCCTGTGGACAGACCGCGTGTATCCAAGCTAAACTTCACCACGTCCACGTTTTCACGAGTGAAGTTCAGAATGGCATAACACATTTCAGAATTCAGAGAAGTCTATCTCACTGCCAACCTAGGCCTCAAGTGAACAGTTTTAAGCTAAAAATTCACACCCTATTTTTCTGTAGTTCCTGTAGAACGTAGTTATAATTTATGATTTGATCTTGTTAGTAAAACAAAACAAAAAACAAATAAATAATAACCTCAGCAGAAGCATCAAATAATTTACATGACCCCCAAATATCTAAAAAGCCTGACACAGAAGGGCTTTTTCTCTGTAGTTGAATCTGCTCACTGTGGTCCCCAACGCCCACGTGCATGTGCTGAGATTGCAGCCGCCCCTTTTTGTGGGTCCCGGCATTTGTGCAGGTTTGTGGTTAAGCTACAGCGGCACCCAGCCTGAGGCGTACACCTCTGCTGAGTCTAGGACAGCCTGGGAATCAGACCTGTGCCAAGAGCAAGGCACCCTGTGCTTTTGCTGAGGCAGGCTTGAATTTTCCTAATGCCAGTGAGATGTACAAGATAGCTATTTGCCTTTGAACAAAGTTTCCAGAAGTTTCTGTGGCACGTCAGGGAAAAAACAAATTTGTGCAGCTTTAATTGCTTCCTTTCCCACCCGCTCCTCCATGCCTCAACTGTTTCACCGTTATTTGTCCCCCGAAGTTCAGCTTCTTATCTTTTTCTGAAGTTTCAAACAGATTTTGGGGTTTGCTGAATCCCAGTGAATGATTCCCTTGCCTTCTCTACCCAAGGTTGGACCAGTTCAGAGAGACAAAAAAAAAAAAGCAGATAGAGAGCAAATATTACCTGCATCACTGATAAAGGGTTTCGGGTGGCCTACGTGAGTGGCAACAGTGGCTATCTAGCTTGGAATTAGGCAGACCTCCACACGGGGTCCCAGGCAGTGCTGGGAAGCCCCAGG